CATATGAACAGCTTTAGACTACTTTTGCCTGCTCTGTATGCCAAATAGGAGTTCATAGTTCAAAATTGTGTAACCGGACAACCAAGGGGTCCGGGCTGCCTGTCGCTACTCGAGCCAATTCAGCAGAGACAGGGTTGAATCATATCTGACCGTCTATTCCAGTCCTGCCGGCAGTGTGGGAGAGCAGCAGGTCCCCCACAGAAATCTGCTCTGCCCTCCCATCAGCCAGCTGCTTATATTGGGTAGAAGGACAAGGTTATGTGCGGAAGTAGGAATTACAGGCATGGAAAGTGGGCACAGGATAATCATCACAGGTTACAAGTCATGCGGGCTGAGGAGGGAGTGGGCAGGGACCAGATTACAGGTAATAGGGGAAGGGGCTTGTGAAGAGCAGGTGCCTCCAGGACTAGGTGCCACGAGGTTGTAAGTCTTTTCATAATGATAGGGCAATTCTTGGGAGGATGACAAACTGTATTCCGATGTTAGCTCCCATATCCCAGGGCGTACAACTCTCAGTGAGCGTAGAATGTGCTTTCTCTAATCAGAACCATCATGGTTAACAGAGCATGATTAATATTTCTTATAATTGTAGCTGGTCCCCAATGTATTCTATTTCTGCCTCTAACATTTACATCTGTAATGAGTTAGAGGTAGCAGAGAGAAAGAAAAGCATACCCTTGTACTTATAAGGCTTTTATATAATACAAAGTAGCTGTATTTAAGTGTTTAAAAGAAATAAGTAACTTGCATTTTTAGCAGTCTGCAAAATTTATTAGTGTGATTGATCCTGCCAGTTGAGAACACATCACTAATCGGAATAAAGGCAGGGGAAGTCACACATCTCCAAAGCAAAAGCAGGAACCTCAGGAGGTAAGGGGCAAAGCTGGCCGCACCCTGGGGAATGTGGAGGCCTGGGCACTTGCTGTGATGACTGATGAGGATATGGAGGACAAGAAGCACCTCGAAACCCACCCAAGACCTACATCGTCAGTGATAAACAAGAAGTTAACTGTTAAACTGGAGCAGATGAGAGGGAATTTTGCCATTCTTAACCTTCATACGAGGGTAGAGGACTCCCTTCAGAATTTACAGCTGCCTTTGTGGTGTGAAAACCCAAATAGATAATCATTTTAAAGTAGCTGTGGATTGCTGGTGTCCATAGAACCAGCAAAAGCAAACAGATCCTCGTTGGAAGAATTCAACTCAGTCTAGATCTTGACATGGCTATTTAGCCCAGCTTTTATAAGCACTGATGCCCTCATCACACTTAGGAGAAGGATCCTCTTATTCTCAGAAGATGCAGGCAAAGCATTAAAAATTCAACACACGTTTTTGACAGCAATTCTTAGCAATTAGGAATAGACGTGGTTTTTTTCAACCTGTTGAAATATCAAACTTTTTGTGAAATTTCAGAATTATTCTTTTTTTAAAATGTGGCTCAAGGCTATGGAGCCTGCTGCCATGCTTTTCTTTACTGTTGCAGCCCATGTCCAGGACAGCAGGGTAAAAGCAGAGAAACGAAAGGGCAGTTATTTGAAGCAAAAAACCTGAGTCTTATTTGTAGATGACATTCTGTTTAGATAGCCCCAGATAATCGTGTAAATTAATAGAGTTAATAAGGTTCCTGTTTAAGACCAAATATAAATAATAATTATGAACTTATTTGTCAATAACTTTAAGTATAATAAATTTATTGTGCATAAGGCACCTTTTAATAAGTCTATAAAAATTTAGTAAGATATTTTTGGGAAAAATATAAAACTTTATTGAAAGACATTGAAGAGAGTGAAATTCAGAAAACATTAGTGAGTGGGAAGATCATTGTCAGAAAGCTGTCTTTCCCCCCCAAAAATTAACCCCAAATGCCACATAATGCCAGTCAATATTTTAATAGTTTGTTTTTTTCTCACCCAAAGGTGTGTTTTGTTGATTTTAGAGAGAGAGGCAGGGAGAGAGGCAGAGAAAACATGGATGTGAGAGAGAAATAGCGATTGGTTGCTTCCCGTATGCACTCTGACTGGGGGGTCAAACCCACACCTTTTTGGTGTATGGGATGACGCTCCAACTAGCAGAGCCACCCGGCCAGGGCTAGGTCTTCTCATTGCATCTTCACATGCATAATGAGGAGAGCAGAGGGCCTTAGGGAAAAGTGGGTTTATTTCCCCTACCAATGGGCAAGACTTTTGTTAAAAGCTCATCACAACGTGGTGATGCTGCATGCTATGGACACATGGACTGTTGGGACAGAATGGACAGCTGAGGAACAGACACATCTGCATATACTGTAAGTATTGGTAGACGTTGGAGATGGCTTTGTAGATCAGTAAGAAAGGGGTTGAGTAGATTGATTTGGACGTAGGTTAGTTATATGGAAAAAATGAAATGAATCTCTCCTTTACCTTCTACAGAAAAATCAGTTCCATAAGTGACCTCACCAAAAAGATGTTGAGCAAAACACTAAGTTTTGGGAAAATATATACCCTATGGTATAATTAAAACTATTTAAAATATAAAAAATAATGCCATATAATTTTTCAGTTATGCAACTGAGAAAATATTGAAAATATTATTGAGAAGAAAACATTAAAAGGATAAAGAAATACGAGAGAATGGCGAACATTGGATTTAGGATCCTATTACCAAATGTAGAGGATATAGGGACATAAGCAAAGAAGATTTTTGTTTTATAAGTTGAATGGGTATGGCTGTTTATTTAAAAAAATCTGTTTGTGACTTAAATCTTTTATGATAAATTTAAAGTAAAAAATTAAATTCCGTCATTTTCATGTTGATGTTGCCTTGGTGACTGCCTTGATTTAGCTCGGTGATTTCCATGGGGAAGTAAGAACTCCTCACTCATAGGCCAGCAAGGCAGGCAGGCATAGGTATCCAAACTAATAGTGTGATCTTGGACAAATTAATTATTCCCCATTTCTCTGTTCCCTCATCTGTAAACTGGGTTCACACATGTACACTCTTAGATATATATATGGTATAGCTCTTAATTTTACTGTAGGTTCTAGAATTTGTGTAAGTCTTTCTTAAACTGCTATGAAGTCATTAATTTTAACTTTTTAATGCAGTGCTTTCTTTTATTGCTCCTTACCTCCCTTTTTTGAAATTTTTTCAAGCCTTATGATTTGTTTTTCTGTGTACTTGTCTGCAGGTTTTCTCAGATGATGAAGTATAAATTATTTGTTTAAATATATTTTTATTGATTTCGGAGAGGAAGGGAGAGAGAGAGAGAGATAGAAACATCAATGATGAGAGAGAATCATTGACCGGCTGCCTCCTACACGCCCGCTACTGGGGATTGATTTGAAATCGAATTGTGACCTCTTGGTTCGTAGGTTTGCACTCAGCCACACCGGCTGCACAGGTTATTTATTTGTTTGTTTGTTTGTTTGTTTATTTATTTATTTATTTTTGTTAAGCCTCACTCAAGGATATCTTTCCATTGATCTTTAGAGAGGGTGGGAGGAAGGGGGAGAGACAGAGAGAAACATCGGTGTGAGATATACACATCAATTGGTTGCTTCCTGCACATGCCCCACCAGGATGGGGGATCGAGTCCACAACCGAGGCACACACCCCTGACCACAACCCAACCCAGGACACTTCAGTCTGTGGGCCGACGCTCTGCCTACTGAGCCAAACTGGGTAGGGGAGAAGTTATTTTTAACAATATAAGAAGCCAATAGGGATTCAAAATGGTTTTGTGTTTTCTCCATCAGATTGTTATTCTGATTGAATTATGGACAGAGAGGCATTTTGTATCCCTTGGAAACCACAAAATGCCTGAGTTTTAAAAAGTTTAACCCCTAATCATACGAGTCTGAACAGCAATGATTTTGCATTTCTGAATTCATTTTTATTGTAAGGTTTCATGGTTTAATAATTGGAGTTAACAGATTGCTTTACTTTGAGTGACAAGTTCTTTTCATAAATGTACTTTACTTTTTTAAAAAATATTTTTTTATTTGATTTCAGAGAGGAAGGGAGAGGGAGAGATAGAAACATCAATGATGAGAGAGAATCATTGATTGGCTGCCTCCCACATGCCCCCTACTGGGGATCAAACCGCAAACCTGGCATATGCTGTGACCTGATTCCGTAGGTCAGCACTGAGCCATTGAGTGATGCCAGCTAGATTACAACATTATATTATTTTTAGGTCATTGTTTTTCTAGGACCTAGGTACTCCTAAGATTTATTCTTTCTTAAAAATTATTTTTAAATTACAGTTTACATGCAATATTATTTTGTATTACTTTCAGGTGCTAATTTTAATCATTTGCAACCTAGAAATTTATGGGCATACATGCTTTAAATTAGAAGTTTAATGCTACATATCAAAACACATTTATTCCCCAGGGTGTTGTAGTTTTTGTTGATTGCTGAATATTTTGCATTTGTTCCTTTTTTCTATTGTATTTTTCTTAAGACAACAGCTAATATTTTCTGATTCTGGACATTTGACAGATTTCTAGCCAATAAAAAAGAATTTCACTGAAAAATTTTTGATAAAAAATTTCTCCAATAGATATCA